CAGACAACCTCTCGTCAATATGCGTTTTTCGCATTGCATTGCTGCAAAAAACGCATAAAAAACGTGAAATAATAGTTTAGAGCATAATGTGTAGAGCTAAATGTCCAGGAATGTTCTGGATTCATCAATGTCCAAAAGTGCCTTCTTGCACATTTATGCTTAAGCTGATTCCTTATCACCTATTCCATGATTCCACCACATTACTTAATTCTAGCTTAGGACAATTTGTAATAACTAGTCCGAGTAGTCAAAATATGATAACTAATCTAATGAATTATAGTGATAATTAGTAACGAATACAATAAGAATTAAAAAAAGAAATTGAAAAAGGAACCCCGAATTGAAATGTTTCGGCCCAGATGTTTGTCTTATAACAGGTGATACACCATTTTAGAAGCTCGTTTTTTTTTTCAGTTTTAAGCAGCTAAGCGCTTTCAACATGCTTTTCAAGAAATCCTAACAAAACCTGCACAGAAACAAGTAGCCGCTACCGAGACAGGAAAAGACCCTTTAGTAGTATATGTGCCCTTCACGTTTTGACTTCCCATCGTTCCTTCCTTTCTCACTTTGTTTGCTCCTTCACTCATACCTATTTCTTCCTGTTATCCGTCTTCCAAATTAGACACATGACTATTCAAAACATGACCGGTAGGAGGCTGTACTGATGATTCCCACTCCTACCTGCATGCACTCTTCGATCTGTGTATACAGCTAAGGGATGAAACACAGACTGCGTCATAAAATGTCTTCATACTCATGACATTCAAGTGAAATCCTTCTATTCTTCTATTTTACCTGTCCAGTTTTAGGATCACAATTCGGTCCATCGGCACCAACTCCGGAACAATCACAGAGCGTACAGCCGTTTAACGGATGATAGTTCCATGCGTTCTTCGTGCAAGTTTCGCACATTGCGCCGACCGTATTCGGTGGACACACGCAGTCTCCTGTTACTGGGTCGCAAACGTGTCCAGGTGCTGGGCAAATTTGACACTCTGAAAAAAAAAAAAAAAAACTATTTAAAAAGCAAATTTGCAAAATATGGAAATCAAGGATGCCAAAACTGCTGAAGAGCAGGTGTGGGGTGTGCTAGCGATATTACTGAAGAACGAGCCGTGCCGTTCCCTTCGGTCTGTACAATTTGGCTAATAATCTTGAGTAAATTTAACCCTTCGATATACATAAAAATAATAGAAATGCCAAGGTCGCCCCACAAACTATGTGAGAATACAATGTTCTTAAAATTACTACTACGATGCAGTTATGGACTCGATCAGGTCCTGGATTTTAGGCTAAATTTCTAAAATTGTTACTGCGCCGTTTTTGGTAGCTCACGTAAGTTTTTCAAAGGAAAGCCGAAATAAACCTTTGCAACCATCCGCATCTAATCCAAAATGGTTCGGAGCACATTTGTCGCACTTCAGACCTGTGACACCCTGTTTACATGCACACTGCCCAGTGTGCATATCACAGTGAATACCTTCTGATCCTAATTCATCACAGCTGCATGCCTGAAAAATTCAGGGCCGTCCATTTGAAAGAAAATCGTATCATAAAATATTCAAGTAACAAGAATGCACCGACATTCTGTTTGGAAGTTTCATAACTGTGGTACTCCCCTATTCCGACTACAGCTATTCCAGGCCTTCCCAACCTGGGCTACATATCTTCAGATAGTACCCACCACATCTGGCCATTTTCTCAGAGGTTGCCCATGTGGTCATTCATTCTCCTGCTGTCATGATCAGTCATAAAAAGACACTTCAAGCATTCTTC